TAACAGTTGGAAAAAAACCCACAGTATCAAGTTATTTTTATTTTACTCAACTTTTTGTTTGTTTCAATTTCCCCTTCCTAATTATCTTATTTGTTGATTCTCTGGCTTAATTATATTGCAATTCTGATCCAAGCCTATTTGTTTAAAAATAAATTACTTTCAAGTGCCTAATATGTTGCCATGTTGAATTGTATCTCCACAAAGTATTTGTCAACTTGCCTGGGTCATGATTTTTAGTGGTTTGGCAGATATGTAATAGTGTTATGTGACAGGTATAGAATCATGATGACATCTGATGTGATAAGCTCATTTGTAAGTAGCGGGATGTAACATCCTTAATTCCATCAGCCTTGAGCCAAAGTAAGGGGAAATCCCATGGGATCCCCTTGCCCTTGGATGTGGCCTGCAATATTTGTTATCCTACAAGAGGGAAAAGGAGAGAAAATTAAACAGACACCTATCATAGGAAAGCAGGGCCAGGAGCAGAATGTATTTTTTGGATGGCATCACTACACTGACAAGTTCCTCAACACAGGGAAGGCCTTCAAGACCCATGGAGCTCTCCAAGGAAAGCCAAGCACATACATGTGGAAAGGATACAAGAACTTTCAAGATAGCCAACAAAGAAAGCTTACCCTGCGCTCACTTAAGACTTCAAACCTTACTTTGAGAGAGAACAAATTTCTCTTTAAGTCATTTGCATGTACTATACCTATTAGCACTAAGAACCCAACAGACACTAGAAGATAAAGGAATGTTTTCTCCTGATGAAGCTTAAAATGAAACCAGATTCTTTGCTATTAACTAGATTCTGATTCATAGCAATGTCCTGTGTTAAAGAGAGTATCAGATTGCCCAATAAGCAAGGTAAACCTATCTTACTTGTACTTATTCAATAATCTATAGTGAACAATTTCACATTTTTACCAAAGATTATACCTCTAACTATGGCTGGCATCTGCCTTTCTTCCAAACTCATAGAACCTCTCTATAGAAGCATAGCATCTTATGAAATTTACAATGTCCGTTAGAGATAGAGTGCCCAGTAAATAAGGTAAATATGGACTTACCTAGTGGCCTAGTGGGTAAGGAATTGCACTGCTAACTCAAAAACTGATAGATGGTCCAAATTCACCATTTGCTCTTCTCCTCAGGAGAAAGACGGACAATATCTGCCCATGCTATTTACAACCTCTCAAAATGCAGTGGAAGGTTAGCTTCAAGTCAGTTCTGACTCAACAGAAATGAGTGAGTGAGTATCTGTAATGAACAACTTCACATACTTATCATTGCAAAGTGATATTTATATAGAATTTTAACTATTAGTTAGCAAGCACAAGGAAGTTCATACTGACCTTGCTCATCAAGTAATCATTCCCTGGTTGCAGAGTAGAACTGTTACATAGGATTTTCTTGATTGTAATCTTTATGCCTTTGAGCTGTGATGCTGGAGAAGAGTGTTGAATATACCATGGACTGCTAGGAGAACAAACAGGTTTGTCCTGGAGAGGGAGAGGGTAAAGCCAGAATGCTCCTTGGAGTCAAGGATTCTGAAGCTTCGTCTGACATAATTTGGGCATGTTGCAAGGAGGGACTGGTCCTTGGAGAGGGACATCATGTTTGGGAGAGTGGAGGGTGGCACAGGAGAGGAAGACCCTCGATGAGATGGATCGATTCTGTGAGTGGAGTGGTGGGAACTAGCGTGTTTGAGATGGCAAGGTTGGCACAAGATAGAACGGCATTTAGCTCTTGTACATAGGGTTACCATGAGTCGCAAGCAACTCGATGGCACATAACAATAACAACAACAACAATCTTTATGGAAACAGATCACCAGGCCTTTCTTTTATAGCATTAGGTGAGCTTGGTCTGCAACTTTTAGATTAGCTTGAATACAAATCATGTGTACCATTTAGTGACCTAAAGTCTAGGGAAGGTGAACAAGTAACACACAACACTACTCAGTAAAGAAGTGGTAGAGGTATTCTGAAGGATATACAAGCTGAAAATAAAGTCAAGTGTGAATTAGAAAAACAATGGCAGAGGTGAAACTTGAAAGAAGACTAAGAGTTTCTCAGGTGGAAGGAAAAAAAAATGAGTAAAGGAACTTCCAAGAGCATTCTCATTCACAAAATTAATGATTAATGAGAGAAAACAAAGAATTCCCCTAAACTACTACATGCTTACAGTAAAATGAGAGGAAGTGGTTGATGGAGAAAATTGCATGTTTGAGTATAAAATTAAGGGAACATATCTTTGCAAAAGACAGAAATTTGAAGGAACTGAGTATTATGTAAGAGGACAAATTCACTAAGAGGGATTTTGTATCTATGACCATATTCAGAACAAGGTAAAATCGATTGAACCCAAAATAGATAAACTCACAAAACAATAGAATAAAATAAAATGCCTGAGAGGACGTTTCCAGATAGACAGAAAACAAACCTAGAGGGAGTAGTTTCATGAAAGCCAAAGAGAATAGACTTCAAGGAAGAGTAATTGCCAATTTCAGATGCCAAAGTGAAATGAGAAATTAGAAATCTTCCATTATTTCCATTAAAATGCCACTGATTAAAAAAAGAAAAAAAGGAAGGTCAAATACTATCAAGATAAGAAGTCACATATCAAGTGAGTGAGGGATAAACAAGATCTAACAGAGAAACTGTTTATATGGTTCTTTCAGACAGGTTGATTCTCAAGGGAAATATATGCAAAATTTATTAAAGTTCACAAACTGTTCAAGGTGGAAATGTCTTTCAGAGGGAAAAGAATAGAATAGTGGTGGGACTACATGCAGTCTGTCAAAAGCCAACAATGTTTGGGAACTGGAAAAAGAAAGCGAATTGAATTATGGCTCCTACAGATTTCAGTATAATAGCCAATAGCTATTAAGCATTTATTATACTTTCACATTTTTATTAAACCCTCAAAACAAAGTTACTGTGTTGTTATGTGCCATTGAGTTAACTATGACTCATAACCACCTTGTGAATGACAGATCAGAACCTTGCTCTATCCGGCACTATCCTCATGATCTCCAGAATGCTGTACCCACAGTTACAGTCCCTGTATCAAACTATACCGCTAAAGGCCTTCTTTTCTTTCTCTGATACTTCACATTTACTATTTACAATGGAAAATGCTTGCTTATCCATAAGCATCCGACTAACAAAACACAGATTAAAGGTTCACAATATTTTGTTGTTGCATTAAGAAAACTATGTATTTATTTGCATTGGACAAATTTAGTACAAAAACATCTTTAAAGCAATGAAAGACTTGGGTGTAATCTTGAGGACAAAGTACATATGATCCATGGTATTTTATATTGCCTCATGTTCTTGTCAAAGTTTGATAAAAGAGTATGAAAGACTGAATATGATGCTTTTGAATTGTGATGCTGGTAAAGAATGCTATCCCATGAACTAATAAAAGCAAACTAATCTGACTTGGGAGAGTATAGCCAAAAAAATCTCTTTTTAAAAGATAGATTGTGAGATTTAGTCTCACACATTTTGGACATATTTTGGAAAGCCCAGTCTCTAGAGAAGAACATTTTGCTTGGTAAATTTGTTGCCTCAAACTCATTGGCAACTTGGAACCAATCTATAGCTGACCTTCCAGCAAGTTTTCAGAGACTGTAATTCTCATGAGAGGAGATTTCTCAATTCCCTAAAAAAACTACAAGGGGTTTCAAATAGGCAACGAAGTCCCATTTTTTAATTAGCAGTGCAATATCTCATTGACTATTCTTCCAGTGATACCTTGGTAAATTAGAAGATTAATAAAATGGAAGAATGAGGTAGATTGATAGAGTGGCTATAATAATTGGCCCAAGCATAACAAAGATTATTAGAACAGTACAGAAACAAAATGGATTGTGTTCTATTTAAGATTGCTATGAGTCCAAACTGACCTGTTAGTAACACATCAGATGTCAGATTTAAAAGTAACAAAAAGATGCCAGATTTCATCTCGCACTATTAATCATTAAGTAATATTGTTCCCCAAATAGAAAACAAGATAATGAACTACAATAAAATTATTAATTATTTTGCACTTCTAATATAAAAACTACAGAACAGATCATTCAGGAGACTTGTCTTTATGAGGAGAAAAATAGCATTAGAATTGGAGGAAGAATCATCAACAATTTGTGTTAGGCCACAACCTTGCTCATTATAACTGAGGAGGACCTGAAACATCTTCTGTAGAAAGTCAAGGACTGTAGACGTCAATATGGATTGAAGCTCAACGTTAAGGAAACAAAGATTCTCATCACCAGTCCAATTGGCAGCACCGTAATAGATTGTGAAGAGATTGAGACTGTCAACAATTTCAACTTGCTTGAGATCCACAAGCAACACTCTTGGAATCAACCATAAGGAGATCAAAAGATGAGTTGGAATAGGAAAGTCTGCTGTCAGTGATCCCTCCAGAGTGCTAAAGTGCAAATGTGTGCCTAATACAGGCTATGGTCTGAAAAATTGACTTGCTTTGCATCCAAGAGTTGAACAGGATGACAGGAGAAGAATTAATACCTTTGAGTTGAGGTGCTGGAGAAGACCATCAGGGATTCCCAAAAGAACAAATAGGTTTTTTCTGGAAGGAGCGAAACAAATTTGTTCTCTGGAGGTAAGGATTTTAAAGCTCCATCTCACATACTTTAGGCATGTTACCAGGAGAGATCAGTCCTTGGAGAAAGATATCATGCTTGGAAGTGTGGAGGAACAGCACAGGAGAGGAAGACCCTGCATAAGATGGATTGAAACAGTGGTTGGGGTAATAGGGGCAGGTGTCAGAGACAGTGAGATTGGCTCAGACTAAGTCAGAGTTCAGAGCTATTGTGCATAGGGTCTATACGAGTTGCAGATGACTCAATGCCACATAACAACACAAATATATCAGATAATTCAAATTTATATTTGTATTTTGTACATTGATTTCTTTGTTAGTTGTGTATTCCCTCTTCCTTATTCACAGGTATCACTTCTGAGAATATGGAGAATGGAAACGTATCAACTGTGACTCAATTTATCTTCACTGGGTTTCCCCAGCTCCATGATGGTGGCCTCCTGTATTTCTTTCCCTTACTTTTTATCTATTCCTTTATTGTTATTGGAAATCTAATTATTTTTTTTGCTATAAGGATGGATCTACGTCTCCACAATCCCATGTATAATTTCATCAGTCTTTTCTCATTTCTTGAGATGTGGTATAGCACAACCACTATCCCTAAGATGCTCTCCAATCTAATCAACAGGGAAAAGACCATCTCCTACATTGGTTGCCTCTTGCAGATGTACTTCTTCCATTCACTTGGAAGCTCTGAAGGGGTCTTGCTGATGGTCATGGCCATTGACAGATATATCGCTATCTGCAGCCCACTTCACTATCCAATAATAATGACCCCTCAGCTATGTGTTCAGCTCTCTGCAGGCTCTTGCGTCTTTGGATTCCTCATTCTTCTACCTGAGATTGTGTGGATTTCAACTTTACCCTTCTGTGGTTCCAACCAAATCCATCATATCTTTTGTGACTTCACCCCCTTACTGAATATAGCCTGTATGGATGGCTCTGTGAGTTTTGTGCAAGATGTAATCCATGCAATTTCCCTTTTAACGACAACTCTGATTATTTCTCTTTCTTACATTAGAATTATCATAGTGATTTTGAACATCCCTTCGGTTGAAGGCCGCAAAAAGGCCTTTTCTACCTGTGCTGCCCACATTGCTGTCTTCGTGCTGTTCTTTGGCAGTGTGGACCTCATGTACCTTAGATTTTCTGTTACATATACACCCTTCTGGGAAACTACCATTGCTTTTACATTTGCTGTACTTGCTCCCTTTTTCAATCCCATTGTATATAGCCTTAGAAATAAGGAAATGAAAGAGGCAATTAAGAAGCTTCTTTGTTCTCTAAAAGGTCTTTAACATATCTAATTTAAACTAAAAAAAGTGGGGGCAGCTACTGTTGGACCAGAGTTTGACTCATAGGAACTCAACTAGGTAGACCTTCTCCATTGTGTTTCCCAAACTGAAATTTTTATGGAAGGAGGCTGTCCCTCCTCCCTCTGTACAGCAGCTGGTCTATTCAAACCATCAACTTTCTAATAGGCAGCTGAGAATTTAACCATTGCAGCACAAAAGCTTCTTAGCACAAAGGCTACAGGTTTCTATTAAAAAAAAAGGATGGGGACTTTTCTCCGATATAGTGATTCCAAAGAGATTAGACTTCAATACAATTATACAATTAGGTCTGTTGTTATCTGCCATCAAGTCATAATTGACTCTTAGCTGATCCTTCCTTCAGCAAGTTTTCAGAGGCTGTAAATTACATGGAAAAAGATTGCCCATCTTTCTGTCCCGGAGAAGCTGATGGATTCAAGCCACTTGCTTTTGCTTGGTCAGTGAACTTCTTACCACTAGGCCACCAGAACTCCCTATGGGTTGAATAGTAGAGTAGAAAAGAATTTGCACTTTGCAGATTTAGAAAGAGGGCAAAAATAACAATTCTTTTCCTGTTTTCTAGTCTTGAGTAATGGTTCTATTTCCTGTATTTCTGGTTTTATCTGTTTCTGTTTTGTTTACTTTTTTACTGCAAAATATATACTGGTACATATTGTAATAATACTCATATATATTACCTGTATTCTTCAACTTATTCTCCATCTTTGAAAGTAAATCTGTCTTTAGCAATTTACTTTTTATCCATCAAGTAGTTGTTGGGTTAAAATCATGTTCCTTTGTGTTGGCAGCACAGTTCCTTACCCTGAACCAGCCACAACAGCAATAAAAATCTAAGACAACAACCCATAATGTTATTAAGATATTTGTTAAAGACTACTCCGTAAGAATTCTGTCAAAGTTTGGTTTAAATTTTTTTAAAAAATATGTGTATTTGGGCTGTATCTTTCCTCTATACTTATTCAATCTGTATGCTGAACAAATCATTTGAAAGGCTGGACTTTATAAAGACAAATACAGCATCAGAATCAGAGGAAGAAGCATAAAAAACCTCTGTGTTATGCAGATGACACAATCTTCCTCACTGAAAATGAAGAGGACCTCCAGTGTTTGTTGCAGAATATCAAAGATGATAGCTTTCAATATGGATTACATCTCAACATCAGAAAACAGAAATCCTCACCACTGGCCCAATAGGCAACATTATGATGGAGGGAGAGAAGACTGTAGTTGTCAAAAATCTCACCCTGTTTAGTCCCACAAGCAACAGCTTTAATACTTGTACTTCTTCCTGTTGTTAGATGCCACTGAGTATGGCTTATTGTGATCCTATGAACAGCTGACCTGAACCCTGCCCTATCCAGTGCCATCCTCATTATCCCTGACACACTAGACCTCATTGCTGAAGTCACTGTGTCAATCCACCGTGTCAAGCGGTCTTCCTCTTCTTCACTGATCTTCCATCTTTCCAAACATTATGTCCATTTCCAAGGTATAGCCTCACCTAGCTACATGTCCAAAGTATGAAAGACAAAGCTTCACCACCTTTGCCTCCAGAAGCACTGTTGTTGCATACTGTCAAGATGGAACTGACCCAGAGCTGACTCTCTGGTGGGTTTTCAGAGGCAGTGAATCACACAGGAGGAGATGGCCTAAGCTTTAGCTGGTGGATTTGAACTGCACGCCTTCAGAATTGCAATGCAGCTTTTCACCACTAGGCCACAAGCACTAGTAATCAAGAAATCAAAAGATGTATTGCATTGAGAAGATCTTCTGTCAAGGCCTTGCCAAGGCATTAAGGAGCAATGATGGATTTTAAAAACTAAGGTGCACCTTATTCAAGCCATAGTCTTTAATTACGTATTACTCGGCTGAAAGATAGACAAATGATGAAGGATCACAGAAGAAGAGTCAGTGTTTTTGAGTTGTGGTGTTTGAGAAGAATACTACATATCCCATGGCCTGCCAAAAAAACAAAATTATTTTGGGAACATGCAACCAGGATGTTACTTAGAAGCAAAGATGATGTGACTTCATCTCACATATTTTAGGCAAGTTGTCAAGAGTCACCAGTCCTTGGAAAGGGACATGATGCTTGGAAAGATAGAGGGTCAACAAAAAAGAGGAAGACCCTCCATAAATGGATTGATACAGTATAACAATGAGCTCAAGTATATCAGAGATGATGAGAATGGTTCAGGGTAATATTCAGACCATTGTTCGTAGGGTCACAATGAGTAATAGCTGATGCAATGGCACCTAAAAGCAACAACAATCTTTAGGATGCTGGCCATGCATGGAGAAGTATGGTTTCCTAGAACTAAGAATGTTAATTTTATCTCCTTAATTCTATTTATTTTTCAGTCAGCCTCACAGATTTTGAAATATACCTCCACTGATATGCTTTAGACGTGATGGCTTCATCATCAGGGACACCATCAACTATATTTGATGTTGGATTAAATTATTGCAAAAATAGTTTTTCAAATGTCAAATCCTTACCCATTGTCTCTGTTCCATCATAGTGGCATTGGAAGTCAGTGTTAAGACATTATGATAAACGTACATGCTTATATCAACAATAAAATTTATCAACCATTTAATCTCTTTACAAAATAATTTTTTTATTTTAATGAACATTTACAGAGATTTTAGATTTCCACTCATTTATTGTTGCAGTTTTCTCCCTGCCCATCCTCCCCTCTCCCCCCCCCACCCAGTTTGCTCCTCTCTTTGAAAAGTAAAAGAAAAATTCTTTCATTGGTATACAATCCCCCCGCATGCCTCCCACTGCCCCAAGTATACTCCACCATGCAACCTTCATTCTGGACTCTTGTTATAACCATAATACCCTATCATATATCACTTTTAAATTGTTCTCTCCCTCATCTGTTTCAATTCAGTATACATAATTTATCCAGTTTCTCTCAGTCTTACCCCAACCCAGATGTCAGTCACATTCTACAACAGTGACACCATGCAGTACTTGTCCTTTTGTGACTGAGCTGTTTCACTCAGCATAATATCCTCCAGGGTCACCCATTTTGAATAATATTGAATGAGTTCCTTGTTTTTCAATGCAGCGTAGTATTCCATTGTGTGAATATACCACAGCTTCTCTATCCATTCATTTGTTGATGGTCACTTGGGTTGTTTCCAACTCCTTGCTATTGTGAACAAAGCTGCAATAAACATGGGTGTGCATATATCTGCTTGGATGCTGGGTATGGTCTCTTTGGGATATATTTTCAGTAGGGGAATTGCTAGGTATGTCTATTTGCAACTTTTTGAGAAAGTGCCATACCATTTTACACAGTGGTTGCACCATTTTACACTTCCACCAGCAGTTTCTCCACAACCTCGCCAGCATTTGTTGTTTGCTGTTCTGTTAAATTTTGCAATTCTGACTGGGGTGAGATGATATCTCATAGTTGCTTTGATTTGCATCTCTCTTAGTGCTAGGGATTTTGAACATTTCTTCATGTGCTTGTTAGCCATCTGAATGTCTTCTTCAGTGAAGTGTCTGTGCATATCCTATGCCCATTTTTATACTGGATTATTTACCTTTATCTTGTTGTGGTTCTCAAGTATTTTATAATTTCTGGATGTAAGTCCCTTATTTGATATGCCATTACCAAATACTTTTCGCATTCTGTAGCTTCCCTTTTTACTCTGGTGGAGAAGTTTTTGGATGTGCATGGGGATTTGATTCTTTGGAGATCCCATTCATTTATTTTATCTTCTCTTGGTTGTAGGCTTTTCAGAATACTTGGAACACTGTTTATGTTGTGGATTAGGACTTCTAGTGTTGTTCCTAGCTTTTCTGTAATGAATCTTATAGTCCTTGGTTTTAGTCCTAGGTCCATGATCCACCATGAGTTGGTTTTTGTGTATGGAGTGAGGTGTGGATCTTAAGCTTGAATCTTTTGCAGATACTTTTCTAATTTTGCCAACACTATTTGTTAAAAAGGCTGTCGTTTCCCCACTTAACTGATTTCATCTCCTTGTCAAAAATCAGTTGACCATAGATGGATGGGCTGATCTCCGGGTTCTCAGTTCTATTCCATTGATCTATGTGTCTGTCATTGTACCAGTACCATGCTAACTTTACCACCATGATGGTGTAGCAGGATTTGAAATCAGGGAGTGAGATACCTCCTACCTTTCTTCTATTTTTAAGGAGTGCTTTGCTTATTTGAGGCTTCTTTCCATTACAAATTAAACTGGAGGTTGCCTTTTCCATCCCCTTGAAGAATGGAATTGGTATTTGTATTGGGATTGCATTAAAAGTATAAATTGTCTTTGGTAGTATTAGTATTGCCATTTTCACAATATTGAGTCTTCCTATCCATGAGCAAGGAATATTCTTCCACTTCTCCAGGTTTCTTTTTGTTTCTTGTAGTAATGTTTTGTAATTTTCTTTCAATAAATCTTTTGTGCTTCTGATTAAATTTACTCCCAAGTATTTAATCTTGTGATTTGCTGGTAATTATAATATTAAAGTTGGAAATAAAGAATAAGGACTTGGTGACAGAAATGAGACTAGAGATAAAATGACTGAATTTTGTATTTTGAGAAATAATTTTCAAGCAATTTGGATTTAACAAAAACTCTTTAGAATTCCATTTGCAAAGAATTAAAAATAGAATGAATGTCCCAAGGACAAAAAATAAAGACATTTCAGGAAAAACAAAACTATAGGTCATTGTACTATCATTTCAACTTAAGGAGATATTTAAGATAGTTTCAAATAGAAAAAAAAATTATACCAGGTCACACCTTGCACCTCATTGCTGTGGAGTCAGCACTCATTTCGCTGACTCTAAATGACTGGCGAGTTTTCTGAGGCTGGAAATCATGCAGAAGATTGCTCCTCTTTGTCCTGTGGGATAGATGGTGGATCCAAACCTCTTTTTTTGGGGTTGGCAACACCGTAATCGCTAGGTAACCAACGCTCCCTAATAATCCCAAGTAAGCAAATAGAATTGTACAAAAGAATAATAAACAACTGAAAAAATATAATGTTTAGATTGCTTACTTAAATATTAATTTAATTAAAATAAAGTTCATTTTCTGAGTGAAATATCCCAGTCACAAAAGGACAAATATTGCATAGGGCCACTGTTGTAAAACAGGACTGGCCTCAGGGGAGGGAAGGCAGAGAGGGAGGGGAGGAATGACATATACTGCATTGAAATAGATGAGGGAGAGTACTTTTTAAAAGGGTTATATAATTGGGTATTATTGTCATGACAGGAGTCCAGATAAAGGCTGCACAGTGGAATGGACTTGGGGGGAGGGATTGTATAACAATGAAGGAGTTTTACTTTTTAAGGAGGTGAATGGGAGGGGTGGGGAGGCTGGAGTGGGTAGGGAGAAAAGTACACCAATGAATGACTGGAAACCCTGTCTCTAAATTTTCATTAAAATTAATTAAAAAATAATAACATTCTTGTGGTTTAAAGTATTCCTAGAATTTAAAAAAACCCTGTACATTGTTATTTTATTTTGCATCCTGGTTTCTACCTTTGTCTTGATTTTTAAATCCTTCTTTGTATTTATATATGTAATTGTTATTATCAGGTACCATCAAATAAGTTCCAATTCATAGCAACTCTGTACAGCAAAGCAAAACACTGTTTGATCCTGTGGCATGCTCACTCACGTCTTTTATACTTTAATCTCATACATTTTTCTTTAATCAGCCTTTGTTTATTCTATTATTTCCTTTTAGATATGGTGCTAAATGAGGATTTAGTCTGTTTTTGTTTTATAAAGATAGCCAATTATTTCAGGGTCATAAGTAAATACATTTTCATTCACAGAAGTAAAATAATATTTTTCTGTAATAACAATTTCTCTCTCTCTCATTAGCTTTGTCCCTAGCTGTTCCTACATTATCCTTTATGATTCTCTAATTTATTCATGCTCTTCTGTCTGATACATAATCAAACCTATGAAATAATTTAATATCTAGCTGTGAAAATGGTCTTAATTTTCCAGATTTCTTTAGCTATCCTCAGATATTTATATTGTCAAGTATTTCATTTTATGTAGATCTACGATGACATTCATGGTAGCAGCAGTAAAGAGATGAAAAGAAGTGTTGCACTTGGAAAATCACTGTCAATATTCCCTTTAAAGTGCTGAAGAGCAAGTAATTAAATTTAAAGACTAAGGTGTACTTGTTCCAAACCATGATATTTTCAGATACTGCCTATACATCTGAAAGTTGATCAATGAATAAGGAAAAGTGAAGAAAAATAATCAATACCTTTATATAGTGGTGTTGGTAAAAGCGTTTAATATCCCATGGACTGCCAAATGAACAAACAAGTCTGTCTCAGAGAAAGTGCAACCAGGGTGCTTCTTAGAGGCAAGAATGATGAAACTTTGTCTTACGTATTTTGAGCATGCTGTCATGAGAGATCAATCCTTAGGAAAATGTGTTATGATGGAAAAGGTAGTTGTTTTGGTGCTATGTGCTGTCAATTTGACTATGACTCATAGCAACCCTAGGAACAATTAATCTGAAACCTCCCCTTTTCTCTGTCATCCTCATCATATCTGATACTTGATCCCATTGCTACAGTCCCTTTGTCAATCCATCCTGTTGAGGGTCTTCCTTTCTTTTCTTGACCCTACACTTTTCCAGATATAATGCCCTTTTCTAAAGATTTCCCTTTCCTAACAACATGCCCAAAGTATGTCAGATGATGGTTTGCCAACATTGTTTCCAAGGCACACCCTGGCTTTACCTTCTCCTGGATGTGCTTGTTTGTTCTCATGGCAGTCCAGGGGATATTTGGTACTCTTCTCCAACATCACAATCTGAAGATATCAATTTTTCTGCTGTCATCTGTAGTAGTTGTCCAACTTTCACATACATGTGAAAAAAATTGAAAAGACTATGGTTTGAATCAGGTGCACCTTAGAGGATCAGCTAAAGAGAGTAATACCTTTAATGGAGTGAATTGCCACAGCGATAATAGCAATGGGTTTGAGCATGTCAGAGATTATGAGAACAACACAGTTTATAGTAAAGTTTTGATTTGTTGATCACAACAGCAAAGGGTTTCTATGAGTCATAGTCAACTCAAAAGCAACTAACTAACAACAAACAACAACACAACACCCACACAACTTATAACAAATGGTGCTCAGGCCACAAGGATTCCCAACTGGGCAGAGTCCTCGCTGCCCTAACCTCCACACAGAACCTATGCTTCTCAGTCCCTGAGGTGGTAGATCCCATGCTGTTCTGATATTTGAGCAGAAGCTACAGTTGAAGGTTCCCCAACAGAGAACACCCCAGTAGAGAACATCCCAGATGAGGATGCCCTAGTGGCAGCCGCTGCTGAGACTTTGTACACCTGCTTTAATGAACACACCGAAGTGCAGACCTGCCAGTGCTAGGACACAGCCACACAGTGTGAGGGAACATCTCTCTGCTGCCTGTGAATGACCAGCTGAGAATATGTCCATTAGACCTGGGAACTGAGTGAAGGACTTTTTCATCCCCATTCACCCAAAGACAAACACCTGAGTGATCCTTGACTGAGGCAAGAAAGAAAGCACAGAGGGTTGTCCAGGAGTGGAATAGGAAAAACAAACAGGCTGACTTTCCACCCAAATGGGGATGGAATAACTGATGTCGCTGTAAGCATGATGGAAGGAAAGACCACCAAAAATAGTGGCGGGGGGAAGGGGTGGTGAAAACAAATGGCATATCTTGAGCATGCACAGTGTATGAAAATCTAGGTAGAAAATTTGCCAGAGAAAAGCAACACCCTTTGCTTGCCATGCCCATGGATCCTGGAAGAAATAGACTTGAAGGCAAAGTTTGTCAGACAAAAATACTGGGGCTCTAGCCAAAATGTAGATCCACTTGCAGAACAAAACCATAACCTTACTACCTAAACCTCCCTACATCGCCACCAATGATCACAGGATATTGAATCTGCTCACCTAGACAGTCACATCTGAAAACCATATCTCCAACCTAAAACTTGGAAACTCTATCAACCTCATATTATAATTCTTAAAATCTACTAATCTATCAACAATATCATAAAGAATAGGAACAGGCAGATAGCTACATAGACACCACAGAAGATGTCACATATAAGAACACCGCAATAATGTCAAGGAAGCAGCTGTTAGGTTTAAACATTACAGAACAACAAAGCAAAATTTCTCCTAATAAATCAGGCCAGATCATAGACCCAATGAATACCCCAGAGATAGGAAAGGAGAAATACACAAATGTGTAGTTACAAGAATCTGTACTCAAGAATTTGGTAATGACGGAAGAAAGAGTTGAAGGTATAAGATATGCAAACATCAAAAAATAATCATAACAAGACAAAGAGGGTACAACCATTAGAAAAACCTGAAGATGTAATCCAGAATAACAACACTGATATTGCAGAACTTTTAACTTGTGAGAGGGACTAAAGATCAGGATAGGGAAAATGGAACAGAGATTTAGTGAAGCAGAAGACAAGATGCTCAACAAGAACATCCTAGAAGAAAGGGGAAAAAAAAAGCAGAAATAGGGTTGAAGGAAAACAGAGAAACATAAGGACCATGTTAGATGATGTAACACAAAACAACATATGTGTAATTGGAATTTCAGAATAGGAGGTAGAGGGAAGCATTAAGAAAGCTGTGGAAGAAGTATTGGAAGAACATTTTCTGTGAATCATGAAAAATGAGAAAATATACACTCAAGAAGCACAGAGAACTTCAGATTAGACTCCAAAAGAAGATCATAAAGACATATCAAATCAAATTCTCCAAAATCAAAGGCAAGGATAGAATACTAAAAAAAAAAAAAAGAAAAGGTTATCTATAAATGAGAAATAATTAGATTAAGCTCTGACTTCTCATCAGAAACCATGTAAAAAGAAGGCAATGAAATGTAATTTTTAAAAAGCTGAAAGAAAATAACTGCCAACCAAGAAATCTATAACTAGTGAAATTGTTCATTAAATTTGAAGGAAATTGTAGGTCATTTGCAACAAAGCAGGAATTAAGTAATTCATAAAAACAAGATCAATTCTACAAGAAATACTAAAGGAAGCCCTTCACATAGACAGGGAGAGGGGAAGAAGGAGATAGATGAAAGAAGCCAGCAGCAGCAAGAACAAAATGAATTCAGCAAAATGTCAATACTAAAACCTGGCCCAATGATAATCACATTGAATGTGAATGGCTTAATTCTACCAATTAAGAGAAAAAGAGTAGCAGGTTGGATTAAAAAAACCAAACCCAAAGCCTATAAATACGTTATCTACAAGAGACACTCTAGAAATTATGACAAATATAGACTAAAGTGGTAAAATATATCAAACAAATAACATCTATAAGAAAGTAGGAGTGCCAATACTAATATCTGAGAAAATATACATCAGAGTGAAAGCCAACATAAGAGACAAAGAAGGGCCCTATAAAAAGCTCAAAGGCACAATAGAACAAGAGAACATAACCTCAGTTAGTATCTACATACCAAATAATAGATCTTCAAAATGTATAATACAAACATTAATAGACTTGATGAAAAAAATAGACAATATCACAATAGTAGCAGGAGATTTCAGTATACCACTCTCACTGAGTGATAGATCAATTCAAAAGAAACTAAATAAAAATGCAGATGAAGTAAATTATGCATCAGCCAACTCAACCTAATAGACATATTCAGAATATTTCACCCAACAAAAGCTCTTTCTTCCCAGGTACACATGGTACCATTCTCCACAAAGCTAACTTCAATAAATTCAAGAGCATTGGAATAATAGAAAATATCTTTTTAGATCACAATGCCATGAAATTAGAAATGAATAACAAAAGATAAAAAATAAAAGGCTACTCATATGGAAGTTAAGTAATACCTTGCTTTTCCACTACTGGGTTATAGAAGAAATACAAAATGAAATATAAAAAGGTTTTTTATATTAATGAAAATGAAAATATAGCATATCAGAACCTCTGGGATATAGTAAAGGCAATCCTTAGAGGTCAATTCATAGGAACAAGCAAACTAATTAAAAAAGAAGAAAATATTACAATACATCACTTAATCCAAAGTCTCTAACTAATAGAAAAAGAACAAGCTAAGCCCAAAGCCTCTAGAAAAAAGGGAAAAGATAATAACTGAAATAAATGGAATAGATAACAAACTAAAATAACTAGTTGAAATAATCAACAATACCATGAGATAGTTTTTCAAACTAGTTAATAAAATGAACAAACTGTTGGCAAACAACCAAAGAAAAGACACAAATAACTTGAATGAGAAATGAAAGAGATGACATCACAACAGAATCAACTGAAATGAAAAATTATAACATATTATGAAAATCTGTTGCTGTTTTTAGATATTGTCAAGTTAAGTAAGACCCATAGTGACCCTTTGAACAACATATCTGAGCACTGTCCTATACTCACACTTCCTGGCATATTAGAGCTTATTAGGACAAGTCATCATGTTAAAATACCTGGACAAGGGTCTTCCCTTCCTTCAGTAACCTTCTACCTTTCTGAGCATCATGTCCTTCTCCAAAAAAAAATCTAAACCATCACAAACTTGGAAAGCTAGAGGAAATAGTAAAAAATTATAGAAACTCACAACTTATCTAAATTGACACAGATAAAATTAGATCACTTGCACAGGTCCATTTTGAAAGAAGAAATTGAGCAGGTCATATATTAACTCTCAAAAAATAAAGCCCTGGTCCAGATAGCTTCACCAATGAAATCTACCAAACATTCAGAGATTTAATTGTACTCTTCTATTTAAATTATTCTACAATTCTACTAAAATTATTTCAAAATCTATAAAAATAGTACTTTCAGCTATTCTATGATAAAAGCATCATTTTGATACCAAGACCATACAACAATATCACCAAAAATAGCTATAGATTCTTGAATATAGAAGCCAACATCTTTAATAAACTTCTAGCCAACAGAATCCAACAGAATATAAAAAGAGAATTAAATATAATCCAATGAAATTCATAACAGGTATGCAAGGATTTATGTAATTAATCACATTAATTAAAGCAAAGGACAAGAACCACATGATCCTATAAATTGATACAGAAAAGTTCTTTGACAAAATTCAACACTCAACACACCTTCCTGATTAGAACATTCAACCAAACAAGAATAGAAGATAATTTCCTCAACAGAGTTAAAGGCATATGAGTAAAGCCAAGAGCCAACTACATTATCAAGTAGAAAGACAAAAGATATTCGCCTTGTGAAGAGAGACCAGGCAAAAATGTCCACTATCACCATTCTTATTCAGTGTTGTATTGGAAGTCCTACTTAGGACAATAAAGTAAGAGAAGGAAGCACGAGACATCCAAATTGTCAAAGAGGAAGTAAAACTATCAATACATGCACATGAGATGATCATGTATACAAAAAGTCCAAACAATGCAGAACAAAACCCTGTTTAGACCCAGCATATAAATTCAGCAAAGTAATAGGATACAAGATCAATACACAAAACATTAGTTGTCTCTCTCTCTCTATAGAAATAAAGAAAACAATGAAAAAGAAACAAGAAAAGCAGTACCATTTATAATAGTAATAAAATACTTAGGAAAACCAAATTGGAGATACAAACTATATAAGGAAAGCTATAAAATGTGACTATAAATAAGGGAGGGGAAGACCTAGTTAAATGGAAAAATATTCTCTAGTCTTGGATAGGAGGACTCAACATTGTGAAAATAACAATCAAAAGCAATCTACAGCAATTTTTTATTAAAAAAAGCAATCCACAGGTTCAATGTAGACCATATATTTATGCACATATAAAATACCAACTTGACTCTTCAAGAAGATAGAAAATGCAATCTCCAATTTCATTTGGAAATGAAAGAAATGCTGAATAAGCAAAACTCTTCTGACAAAGACAATATAGGAGATATCATGCTTCTAAATCTCAAAATTTTCTACACAGCAGCAGTAATCAAAACACCATGGTATTGGCACAATCACAGCAACATAGACCTCAAATGAAATTGAGAACCCAGAAATTCACTCAGTTACATAAAGAAAATTTATATTTGACAAGGAAACAAAACCCATTAATAGGAAATAAAAAGCTTTTTGATGAAGTATTGCTGGCAAAATTGGACATCAACCTGCAAAAAATGGAAGCAGAATCCACATCTTACTCCACACACAAAACCCAACTCAAAGTGTATCAGAGACCTAGGTGTAAAACCAAAAACTATAAAGGTCATCAGAGAAAAAAATTGGGAAACATTAGAAACTCTGAACGATGGCATGTAGGCTTTCAAACAACCAAAACTACAAAACCAGGGGAGAACAAAATTTATTAATTGGGACCTTTAAAAAATCAAATCTCTGTGTACATCAAAAAGATTTTCTAATATGGTAAAAAGAAAGCCCACAGACTTGGAAAAAATATTTGGCGAAGACATTTCAAATAAGAGACTCATAAATAAAATACATAGAATATACAGTGCCTCCACAAGGGAGCTCTGTTGGCCTAGTGGTAAGAAGCTGTGCTGTAAACTCAAAGATATATGATTCCAATCCACCAGATGACCTCTGAAAGAAAGCTGAGTAACCTCTTCCCCTGCGAATTACTGCCTCTAAAAACCCACTGAAGGGTCAGCTATGGGTTGGTTCCTACTTGAACAACCCATGTTGTTCACAGCAACAACCACCACCACAAGAAAAAGACTGATAGCTTAATTATAAAATGGGCAAAAGACAGAAAAATATGCTTCATCAGGAAGGACATTCAGATGGACAACTAACACATCAATATCTCTAGCACTCAGAGAGATGTAAATCAAAGGAACAGAGACATTGTCTCTCCTCAGTAGCCATAGCAAAGTTTAACAGGAAAGCAAACAAGAAATGCTCATGATGATGTAGAAGGGTTGGAACTCTTGTACACAGCTGGAAATGCAAAATGATACATCCATGATGGAAAGCACTTTGGTATTTCTTCAAAAAGGTGAATGTAGAAATTATGTATGACCC